TGAGTCCCAAAGAAATTGGACTCAAGGAAGAACATGCCAAGACACATCATAATGAAATTACCCAAGATTAAAGAGAAGAAGAGTATCTTAAAAGCAGCAAGAGAAAAAGAGAGAGTTACATACAAAGGAGTTCCCATAAGACAAACAGCTGATCTCTCAAAAGAAACCTTGCAGGCAAGAAGGGACTAGAAAGATGTATTCCAAGTCATGAAAGGCAAGGAGCTACATCCAAGATTATTCTATTCAGCAAAACTTTCATTTAGAATGGAAGGGCAGATAAAGTGCTTCCCAGATAAGGTCCAAGTTCAAGGAGTTCATCATCACCAAGCCCTTGTTATATGAAATGTTAAAGGGACTTAGCTAAGAAAAAAAACTATAAACAGTAAAATGACAATAACCTTGCAACTATCAACAACTGAACCTAAAAAAAATAAACCAAACTAAGCAAACAACTAGAACAGGAACAGAATCACAAAAATATAGATCACGTGGAAGGTTATCAGCGGGGAGCAGAGGTAGAGCAGGAAATAAGCATAAAAGGTAAGTACAAAATAGGAGAATGTTAATAATAGTATATGAAATGGAGAAACCAAAGAACTTATATGTATGACCAATTCATATGAACTGAGGTGGGGAGGTGCTGATGGAAAGGGGGTGCAGGGCAGAGGGGAATAAAGTGGAGAAAAAAATGGGACAGCTCTAATAGCATAATCAATAAAATATACTTAAAAAAAAAGAAGCAGAACAGCTGTCTGCCTAAAGATGGGCAGTGCCACCTCTGGGGCTTGGGTGGACCAGCTTGATGTCAAGTCATGGGAAGATGAAAAAAATACTGGTTTTCATTAATTTTGCAGTAATTCAGCCCTGAATTTTTTAGGGGACTGAAATGTTTGGACCCCATTTTTACATTATGGTAAGGTTTTGTGGAAGTCCAAAATGTACTAGGAAGTTATCCATTTCTTTTAGATTTTCAATTTGGTTGCTATGGATTTGCACACCATCTAATTTTTTCAGTCTTTTCCTTTTTCTTGTGTGTTCATGAGGCTATAATATCAATTGCATTCCCAATAAGCAATTTTGTTTGGTCTTTCTGAATTAGACTTGCTGAGTGTTGGCTTGTTTGATGTTTTAAATAAAACTTATCCTTTCAAGTATTTTTTCATTTATTTTAATCTCTCGTTTGTATTACATTCCTCTTCATACTTTTTCTTGGTTTATAGTATTAATTTTTTAAAAATTGAATCATGCAGTTCACTTATTTTCAGTCCTTTTATAAAAATTAGAAGTATTTAAGGCTACAAATTATGTGAGTACAGGTCCTATCTAAGTGTAATTTTTATTACTTTGTAGATAACTCATAATTGCCTTTTTGATCTGGGAGTGAGTTAGGAATTCTGATTTCTATGATTTAGTTTTTTGGTATTTTTATAAGTTTCCTGAAAGTTATCTGATTATGACCAAAAAATGCTTTGGAGAATTTATTAAGGATATTTCAGTGGCCAGTAAATAATTGGTTTCTTGTTATTTATTTATTTATTTTTAAAGATTTTATTTATTTATTTTTGGAGAGGGGGGAAGGGAGAGAAACATTGATCAGTTGCCTCTTGCAGGCCCCCAACTGGCCCCATAACCCAGGCAGTGCCCTGGCCAGGAATCAAACCAGAGATACTTTGGTTTAGGGGACAGTGCCCAACCCACTGAGCCACAACAGTCAGGGCTAAATATTTTTTCTTTTGTAAATGTTCTATCACATAAGAAATGAATGTTGTCTTTAAGTTCCTTGTATTATTCAAATGCTGTGTCTTTACTTTTTGCCAAATTGATCTGTCAAAATTCTGAAAGAATATTAAAGCCTTCCATTACTGTTGTGTGTGTGTGTTTTTTTAAATAAAGAACTTGTTTTTCTGGGGGGAAAAGAAAATACACTTGAGGAAAATGCTTCTTTAGTATTTCACAATTAAGTTTGAAATAAATATTCAGGTTATTAAAGTCTTGGTTTTTTAAAGAAATATTATCAAGACTGTATATTGAATTTTGAGGGTTATCTTCCATTTTTGAGATAATCATATGTTTTCTTTTAAAATTTGCCCTAGTGCTCTGACCTATTTTTTTTAGTACTTTATTTTTCTATTTTTTTAAAAGGATTTTATTTATTTATTTTTAGATGGGAAGGGAAGGAGAGAGGGAGAGAAATATCAATGTATGGTTGCCTCTCTTGTGTCCTCTGCCGGGAACAGGCCTGCAACCCAGGCACGTGCCCTAACTGGGAATCGAAGCACGATCTTTTGGTTAGCAGGCCCGCGCTCAATCCACTGAGCTACACCAGCTAGGGGCAACCTATTATATTAGCAGGCTCTCTAATATTAAATTGTCTTTGCCTTTCTGAGATAAATTCAACTGGATTAGGGTGGTTTATTCTTTTAGTATACTCTTAAATTGTTGATTAGCATTTTATTTATAATTTTTTTTATGCTTTTATTGTTTATTGATTCTTAGAGAAAACATTTTTAATAATTGTTGAATTCTTAACCATTAAACATGTGAGAATTTCTTATATAAGTTTAATATGGATTCTATTACAGCAAATTAATTACAGGTTTTTTAACCACTGAATTAATTTTTAAACACTGTTTTAGAAATAAATCTTTTTTTTTTAATGTCCATCTTTTAAGAAATTTATATCTGTTTGTGGATTCTATGTGCATGTATTCATGCTCTACCACCAAGCTGTTTAAATTATAGTCTCTTAATAACATTTTTATCTATCAGTTCCTATACCTACATAATTATTATTTGTCACAAATTTCCTGGCTGATTCTTTTTTTTTTTTTAATTTTATTTAGTTATTGGTATTTTTCTCTTTGCTCTTATTAATTTTTAATATCAGTATTATGCTACTTTTGAAAACTAATTTGGTCACTATATTTCTTCCTACTCAGAAATGGTTTATATAGCAAGAAAATTATCTCTTCCTTGAAATTTGAAAAAAAATTATAAAATTATCTAGGCCCAGAGGTTTCGGGAGAAGTAATTCTTTGACAAGTTTTCAGTTGTTTCCATTGTTAATTTTTTTTATTTCTTACATCAAGTGTTACCATTTATACCATTTTGTACAAATTAGTCTGAGAAATTGCCTTTTTGCTGCATTGTTATCTGCTTAGATTCTGGTAAAAATTCTACTGAAATATAAAAAAGTTGGAAGAGTAGATATGAACAGCCCCTATCTAATATTTGTTCTGTTGAAATGTGAGGGTCTTCACAACCTTATTCTCTTACATGAGCAGTAGGATTTATAATCTAAATATAAACCAATCTGAATTTAACTGACCAGATGGAGAACATGAAAAAACTCTAATCCTTGAAATTTGAAAGGTACAGAATGGATCTTGTATGCCTGGAAACTATATCTTCTATGGTATAGTGCAATGCTGAATGAATACAGGAGAGAAATCACCTATCTTAGTCATGAGACAGAGTTTTGGGAAAGATGATGGAATTCTGTCTGGCTCTGAAAGTTGTAGAAGCCAGCTAGTTTTCTGTTTGATTCAACTCTTAGGCCTACAAGCTAGGAATAAATAGAAGTTCCCAAAAATCTTTACTTTCTTCCTTCTTTATTTTCATTACTTATTAATTAATTCATATGTATTTCAAAGAGAAATTGGGACAAATGTCAAGAAAAGCTATTATAAAAATCTTAACCTGGAGTCAGCATTCTTTAAATTTTCAAATAGAGATTTTGTTCAAAAAAATTTTTAATCTTTTTTATTTTCATATATATAAAGCCCTTTATAATTGACTTACATGTAAAAAAATCAAAGTGGTCATCCATTATAAAGTTGTTTCTCAGGTGTTATGCATGTTATATATAATGAACATTTTTGGTGTGGATGCTGCTTTTGTTTTGACAGCAAATCAGAGGGTGCATATATAAATTGCTATGATACAGGTCAGCAGAGAGAAAACAAAACATACAGGCCTAAAACACTGACACATTAGCTCTTTCTGTAGAAGAATATGTCCCATTCTGAAAACAAATGGTTACTTTATGACTGATATTGAGTCTACATTAAGAGGTTTTCCATTTCCAAACAAAAGTAGTAAACGATAATCAAATAAAATACATTGGCTATAGTTTATATGTATTCATATTAGAAATGCAAAATGGGAAGACATTTAATATTCGTGTTCTACTTTTATGTCGTGCATGGATAACAGAATAGTTTTTGCAAGGTTCAATTTGAAAGGAGCAGAAATTTTTAAAAAATAGTTTTTTGTAAATTAGACTGTTCAGAACATTGAGCCTGGATATTGGGTCTGTTAAGGCCCTGGTGATTAGACTTCTGGCAGCAAATGCTGTTTTGTCTTCAGGGAATGTACAGCTATTCTAGGATCTCCGAATCCTTCATAAGAGCCAAGGATATGTACCCTAAGACCTTTGGCACTTTTACTTAGATAATGTGCTCTCCGGGTCTTCCTTTTAAAAATATGCTTCACATGGACTATGCTGCATCTACTGTCCCTAAGTAGTTATGACACATCACTGTACTTTACCTTAGGCTTAACAGACATGTGCCATCTAGAATGATGTTATATCTTAATGTTATTTTTGCTGTGCATAAGTTTTATCAAACATCTGTCTTTTGAAGTTATTAATCCTTTTACAATAAGTTTTTCTTATATCTGTACAATAATGTAGGTTTCATCATTAATATGATGTAAAAGATGGATGAGATAGGACCTTAACTCATGATCAATGACAGACCTCAGAGAGTAGGTAAAATCAATCTAATAAATGTGTCTATGGGTAGATTCCACAGTTAGTAGCCTATTGGTTACTTCTAGAAAATACAAGACCAAGTTCAGAGAAAGCAAACATTCAGAATGAAATCCAACAAAAAAATTTATTTGCTTGTACACTTTGGAAATTCTTAGACAACCATGGTTGTCTAAGAATTTTGAGTATGTATATTAAAAAATCTTCTTTCTTTTTTATTGTTTAGATTTGGAAAAGGCCAATTCTAAACCACAGATATACAAGAAGGCCATTTTCTCAAACAAGAGTCACCGTTGAACGGTAGGTAAACTCAGAATTTATTACACTGAATGTTCTTAAAAGTATCTTTTTAAAATAACGTGCAAATTTTTCATAGTATTGCACTGTAAAATTTCATAAAGAGCTTTTATTTTGACTATCAGAATACTTTCTACTGTATAGTTTACTAGTCAGTTGAGGGAAAACACAGTAATATATTTGTCTAAGACAAAACAAAGACAGGAAAGTGACCTAGAAGTTGAGAAATAACTCGTATCTCAATCTTGACTTATTGAGAAATAAGTCTCAAGTACAAGCATATTATTTTAGGTTCCTGATACTTACAACTAAGTGGGGATAAAAATTAAAATATCGTGCCTGCTTCCCTGTAGGCTATGCAACCATGCTTCCTGGTCATAAAGGCGAAAGTAGCATCAATGTGTAATAGTTGTGTTCTGGCTCCCAATGGCCAAAGCCAGAATAATTTAAGCAATAAAGAAGGTAACTGTAGTACTAGATTATAGCCCCCCATATAAAATACATATACATGGTTCCATACTGATATAAATAAATGCTGACTAAATAAACAAATGGAAAGAGAACTGCCCCACAGAAGAATTTAAATTAGTAAATGTAAAAGGAATGAGGGAAGTAGAAAATTGCCATTAAAGAACCACAGTAATGATTGCTGCAGGCAAGATAAATACTAAAATTGGTTAAAGTGTAAGGAAAAGCAGAATATGTATATAACCTCAAAGTATCTCCCTCCACATATTTATTAATTGCACAGAGGAAGATAGTATCTCTATAGTGGAGAATCTTGGCAGACACTACCTTAACCAAGTGCTCAAGGTTAATATCAGCAGTAATATGACATATTGAGGTCATATCCCCCTGATAAATTGTCTTGAAAAGGGCACATCATGCCTTTGGTATTCTTCCAAAATTTCATAAACTCAGTTGAATCATGAGAAAACCTTAGCCTTAGATAAATAAACCTAAAGGGAGAGACATTCTACAAAATACCTGGCCAGCATTCTTCAACAATGTCAGGGGCATAAAAGACAAGTAAAGACAGAAGAACTGTACATTAAATATATGCAGTGTTTCATATATCACTTAGACCTTAATAAAGCTATTAAAAAAATACACCAAGGAGCTACCAAAGATTTGAAGGAGAATAAGGAGACCTGGCAACAAATACAGTGTGGGATCCTAGATCAGATCCTGCAAGCGAGAAAGGGCATTAGTGGGAAAAAAGGTGAAATCCAAGTAAAGTAGCTTATAGTATTGTGCCATTGTTAATTTATTAGTTTGATCACTGTGCTACAATCACAACGTGTAATGTTTGATCACAGTGCTATGGTTGTAATGTGTAATGTAACACTAGGAGAAGCTAGGTGAAGAGTACATGGAAACTTTCCCTACTATCTTTGTAACTTTTCTGTAAGCTTCAGATTATTTAAAAATAAACAGTTCCTTAAAAGTAATATTGGAATCTCAAAATAATCATTCTTAAATTAGATTTTCACTGATTTGTAGAGTTTCTGATAGTTTGCATATCTTAGAACAGAGAGAAGCAAGGATATCGTTTCCATACACACTGCCATCCTCACCTCCACAAGTTTTATCTCCATTTAATACTTCACCCAGTTCTGGTCTTCTGGAAGACCTGTTAGCAGGAAAATTCTACAAGGCTCTGTGTCCTTAGGAACCTCCTCTTAGCAAAATTTTTAGTTGGTGACGGTCGTGTCTGATTTAAATGTTCAAACAAAAACTGTGAAAGTATTTAGATCTCATTAATATTCTCTTGGTCAACCAGTCTTCATGACCCAAGACAACATTTGAAGAAGAATGTAGAATTAGTAGTCTTATATTTAAACAGTAAAAATGAGAGAATATCATATTTTTTTAGGTAAAATGTATGGGAATTCAGTGAATACAAGTAGTACTAAGGGAACTTTTATTCTGAAAAGAAATTGATAGCATTAAGTTGGTTTAGAAAATCAGTTTAAGTTTAGAAAAATCTAAAGCCACTTAAAATCAAAAGACCAAGCTCTTGAAAGACAAACTAAGAGACAGATATGTACTTTGGCATCTGAAAATGAGTTATTTGATCTGAATTTAAGTGTTGGGGCATGAAATGCTAATAAGCATTACAGATTGTTCCCTAAATTTTTTTGCTGGTAACTCTCTTGAGTGTTCACCCAATTTAGTAATTTACACTAGTTCACAGATTTGGGGTGAAACAAGAAATAACAGAAAGTAGAATGGCGGTTACGAGGGCCGGGGTAGGAAGAGAGGTGGAGGGGAATGAGGAGTTAGTGCAGCAGTTACATCTCACTTCTTTGCCAGGGTGTCCAGCTACGAGGTGAATCTCTGCCTGTGGGCACTTATCCTTAGGAATCTTTTTTTTTAAATCTGGAGATGATTCTCTGGACATCATTTTCCAACTGGCAGTTTAAGTGGCCCCTATGTCATAAATTGTGCAGGTAAAAAGAAACCTCGTACACAGGAAACAGTAGAGCTGGTTGGGAGAGTTGAGTGTGGAGTTAATTTATAACTAAGACAAATGAATCTATAAAAAGAAGAAAAGCCCCATAAGAAATATGTTAACTAATGTTAAGGGAGAAAAAAGAATTTAGATAAAAGATATTGGAACTTGTTTGGTCCCAATGATTTTATGGCTGAGGAATTCAATTATAGGTATACTGGGTGGAGCAAATCACAATTCGGTAAATTACTAATAGGACACAATGATCTTTATCATCTTCTGTATGTGCTTACATGCAAAGTTTAGTCCTGCCCTCTGTAAATAAACTCTCTGCTTAGCTATACTGCTATGTACGAATTCAGGGCTTCAGAATTAGAACATGATAATGTTTACTTTCAAAACCTTAAAGGCAAGTAGGTGATACATTTAGAAATAAGATTAGGAACTAGAACAAATGACTTTTGCTTTTGAATTTTGGCCATTGGGTTTGTTTCATTTTACATTAAATTGTTATAAGACTTTTTTATTATCAAAAACTTCTGAAAATATTTTTTGAAATAAAAATACCACACTTAATCACTACTGTTTTTACTTCTGCATAATTCCTTCCAGTTCTTGTTAGCATGTTTACATTTTTTACTTACTGATGATTATAGTATATGTAGTAGCATTTTTGCTTCTTACTCTATTAGGTCATATAAATCTTCCTTTGAGTCTGCCTGGCTTTCAAATTTTTCATAATAGCAACACAGTTGTTCATCTTAGTAGACGTTTTACTAAGCCACTTTTAGGTGGTTTTTAGTTTTTTATCATTATACAATTACTATTTATCCTAATGCTGTTACATATAGTGAATATCTTCATGCATATATTTCACTTTAATCATTTACTCTAGCTAAGTCACTGCAAGAGAAATTTCTATCTAAAGGGTTTGAGCAACTCTATTATTCTTGCATTATTAATTCTTACGACATTTCAAATTGCTCTGAGGATATATTAGGAGCAAAATGAACAAAACCTTATTTCCAAAGCGTATGTTTAAACAATTTCTGCCCTGGATGGTGTGGCTAAGTGGATTGAGCATCAGCCTGCAAACCAAAAGGTCACTGGTTTGATTCCCAGTCAGGGCACATGCCTGGGTTTCAGCCCAGGTGTTCCGTTGGTGGTATTGCAAGAGGTAATTGTTTCTCTCACACATGGATGTATGGATGTTTCTCTCCCTCTCTTTCTCCCTCTCTTCCTCCCTCTCTTCCTCCCTCCCTCCCTGTCTCTCTAAAAATTAAATAAATAAGCAAATGATTTCTATTCATTAAAATGTTTTATTGTTTAGCCATAGCTTGTGTGTGTTATAGTGAGGTGAGGGTGGAGAGGAGTTCCACCGATTGTTTAGGTATCAGAAAAATATGGGGTTTGGGGTGGGTTTTTTTGTTAGAAAAACACCTACTTAATTGCAAGGAAGTTGCAGCTTATTTCCTAACACTGTGACAAATTTAAATAAAATGCAAAGATTGTGCTGCCATGGATGCCTCATGGACTTTAAGTCCACATGTTGCTAGTTGTTAAACACAAATACTGCATTTGAAAATACAGATTTAAAAAAGTAGAACTTCTAGAGCATTGTAATACAAACCAGGTTTAAAAAAATATTTAAATAGTTTAAATTTGTGATTTGAATATTTTGGAGTAATATTAATTTTAGAATAAAGATATAAGTACAAATGTTAAGGTTCAAAATTGTGTGGTTAAATATATTACAATAAATAGGAAAAGATTATGGGTGATTGTCTTTTTTTATTCTAAACTTTCATTTGAGGGTTAAGTTACTGTTAATAACATGAAATAGAAATTATAGCTTTTAACTATGGTGCAGTATATTGTATTTTTAAATATTGAATAAGCAATATAGTAATGCTAAAGATCATTTTAAAGCAAAAATTATCTATAATCTTTACATTCTTATTCAAACTATTTTAATTTCTACAAGTTGCCTTCCAGTTCTGAATACATATATACACACATATTTTTATAAGTCTCTGTAGTATTTGAGAAAGTAAATGCATTGCTATTCCTAACCCTCAATGTCTACAAAATTAAGGGATTGTGATAAATGACTTCTAAATTCTCTTTAGATTCAAACACAGTATTTTAAAACTTAGCCATCTCCAAATTACATAATATTTTCTGGAAAAATGTGTAAGTTCATCACAGTGGGTACTGTCTTTACTTAAAAGTGTCATTTACAGCTATAAAATATAGAGGATTAATTCCTAAAAATCAAGCCTGAAAGAAAAACTGTGATATTGAAATTAGGAGTTAACATTTTGTTAAACTTTAAACTCTATAATGCACGGTAGGGGAAGAGGTTTGGTTATTTGAGATTCTTGAGTAATGATTTAAATAAAGCAGTGTTCTTAGAGCAGTAATTTTAATAAAGCCTCGTGTGCAAGTGTGTCTGATAAGAGAGGATACAAAAAAATTTGCTGATCACTTAATTTTCATTTATATCCCACATATTCATTCTCATAACAGAAACTCTTTTAAGTCTTTC